GTGGATGAATGGGGAATTTAATTTTGGTCCGAACCTCGTGTTTTGACCAAGCGGGCCCGGGGTCGATTTTTGGAATTTTGGGAAGAAAGCTTAGAAATTCATATTTAGGCATTGGGTTTAGTTTGTTTAGCTATTATTAATATTGTAAAGTCATTATTTCATAGATTTGACTGAGTTGGAGCCGAATTCGAGGTGTAAAGCTATACTAGAGGCTTGAGTTAATTTTGGAGCATTTGAGGTAAGTGTTTGGTCTAACTTTGGCTTGAGGGAATAAGAGTAGCGTCTTATTTGCTAATTGCTATTTGTCAAGTACGGTGTATAGGCATGGTGACGAGTATCTATACACTGGTGTCGAGCATGACCGTGAGTCCTGAATTGCTATGTTATCGAATTCTTAATTGTTGTTTATGAGGGCTTGGTTGGAAATCTTTAACATTGAGCCAGTAATTGATGAGACTGAGTATTGATTTAATTGTGTTAAGTAGAAATTGAGTAAGTTTGGTTATAGCTGGATCTCCCTTGCCGGGATAGTTTATTATATTATCTTGTTCCCTTGACGGGATAGTTTATTATAACATCTTTCTCCCTTGCCGGGATTATTTTGTGTATTGTGTTGAAAGAAATGGGATCGTGTGGCACGCCGACCACGAGATACTATGAAATGGGAGCGAGTGGTACGCCTACCACGTGATATTATGAAATGGGAGCGAGTGGTACGCCTACCACGTGATACTATGAAATGGGAGCGAGTGGTACGCCTACCACGTGATATTATGAAATGGGAGCGGGTGGTACGCCTACCACGTGATATTATGAAATGGGATCGAGTGGTACGCCTACCACGTATATTATGAGAAATGGGATCGAGTTGCACGCCTGCAACGAGAGGAAATTGAAACAAGTGAAAGTGGTTTGTTTTCCCTTATTCTGTGATAGAAGAAATCAGATGTAGTTTCTTTTGTTATTCCTGATATTCCGTTTTATCTGCTACCCCATAAGCATGTTCCCCTCCCAGTTTTAATTGTTTACTTTCCGCTATTATTTTGTTGTACTGGTATATACATCTGCACAGGTTTATGTGGTAGTCTGGTCTAGCCTTGTCACTACTTCGCCGGGGTTAGGCCAGGCACTTACCAGCATTGGGGTCGGTTGTGCTGATGCTACACTCTGTGCATCTTTTTGCACAGATCCAGGTGTTGGAGCAGCATTTGAGTAGCAGTAGCATTCTGGGAGCGAGCTTTCAGTCCAGGGACATTCGAGGTAGCCCTGCTGACGTCCGCAGGCCCGGAGTCCCTTTCTATTTTAGTCAGTTTGTTGTCATTTGTACCGAAGCAGACAGTTCTATGTTTCATTCAAACCTTGTGTTTAGTATTCTCTAGTCGTTCGTGAGTATTGTGACACCAGTCTTGGGTAGAGGTTTTTGTTAAACTTCCGCATTTCTTTCGGTTAATCATATTTGAGACTTCCGTTTTATCATACTATGTTTTGTTTTCATTAAATGGACGATAATTGCTAAAAGAAGTAAATTGATTGGCTTGCCTAGCTCCTATTAGTAGGCGCCATCACGACTCCCGAGGGTGGGAAATCCGGGTCGTGACATAACTCCACTTTATCTACCATTATCTACAGAATATCTACAAAATATCTACAAGTTATCTACAAAATATCTACAATTTTTCTACATTATATATACAAAATATATACAGCATATTGGCACAGCTCTACAGATTTATGTAGATCTTATAACACACCTACATATCTTCTTAAACTGTCAAGTCACTACTATCCAGTATGATTTAACATTTTTAATGAAAAAAATAGAACATGTTGAAGGTGCACTTGGTGAAGAAAATCATCCAGTACGTGTTGATTTATATACACATTTTGAAGGTGCAGTTGATGAAGAGAATGCAGGTATGAAATTGTATTCAGAGATATTTGCTTTATGTTTCAATATTTTTACCATTCTATTAAGCTAGATATACATGGTGTTACAGAGAGGGAAGATATGCATCCACAATCTCCAATTCACGGAGTGACAGTAGCAGCTCAAAGAGAACAGCAGAATGAGGAAGATGACAATGTAGGTGAAGAGGCACAGTATGTGAATGTAGGTGATTCAGAAGACTCCGGAGGTGAGAAGAAGGAGGTTACACTTGATGATTTCGAGCTGCCTGATAACTTCTCCCAGTTGGTTAAGTTCGGCGAGCCTATACAAGATGAAACAACACCCGTGCATCAAGGTAGAACAAGGCAGCCGGGAAAGCATGCCCGATCACCATTTCTCCCTTTATACAGTTCTGGTGGCAGCACCTCGGTTGGACCTCAAATTTTTCACCTCAAGCACCCATTTACTAGTGTTATTGGTCAAGATGTAGATCCTGAGTTGTTGGATCAATTCAACAAGTGGTTATACCACGGTACCGACACAGGTTCAAAGAGGTTAGTTTGCATAATTTGACACTTTTATTCCAGTATTCATCTTTTACATATCCACTTCATTCAACAATTTTATTTTAATTTCTATTTGTTTATATAGGAGGAATGCTCTGTATCCTATAAAGGACAACTAAATTAAGCCATGGTTAGATCTTGGAGTGGAAAAGGTTGACAAGAAGGAGTGGTTCTTTTCCCTGGCACACCCCGGACAAGTCCTCAATGACTCGGTAAGATTCAATGTATTTGATTTGTAGATAATTTGTATTCTGATTGTAGATGCTTTGTTTTCTGTTTGTAATGTAATTGTTGTTATTTTGTAGTTTTGTGTAGATTATTTGAATATAACTTGTAGTATAAATGCAATCTGTTTTTGTTGCAGCACATTGATGTTATAATGTATTACTTGAGGAAAAGAGGCAAGTATGGCCCCCACAACAAGACCAGGTTTACTACAACAGATTGTTTGTTCAAGACTAGGATTGAACAAATTTATGAAAAGTTCCAAAATTCTCCTCAAGAAAAGAAGTTTTCTATTGTCAAACCCCAGGACGTTGTAGCGGAATATATATTGGGGTATGGACTACTCGCAAATGTTGCATGAGATGAAGTTGATTATGTCATCATGCCCGTCAATATTGTAGAAAAATTCCACTGGGTGTTGGTTGTTTTTGACATTGCAGACAGGCAACTTTATGCGTATGATTCCATGGTCTCTTCACGCAATCACCCTATTGTTGAATCTTGTGTCGACAAGTTTTCTGTTATTGTCCCTTTGTATTTGTCATGCACCGGTTTTTATGGGAAGCGTAAAGACATCAACTTCAAGAATACAAAGGCATACATTGAGAAAACTGTCGACCCTCTTAACATTCAGTGGATCGTCGGAGAGATACCACAGCAAAAAGAAGGATCACTGTAACAAAAATCTTCTTTCTTTTTATGCATTTAACCCTTTTTTTTTCTAATCGTTTGGTAAATATTAACATTTTTTTATCTTTGCAGCGATTGTGGTGTATTTGTTGCTGCCTTTGCAGAGTATGTTAGTCTTGGAGAGTTATCAATTCCGGCAGAAGACCTTTCTGATATTGACCAACATCGTAGATGCTATGGAGCGCTACTTTGGGACTATGCTAGAAAGAAGCAGGAGCATGGGGCAATCAGTGAAAGTGAGGTGACTGGCAAATTGGCAAGGAGAAAAGGTGCACCAGCTTTGAATGAGAAAACACGAGTCCAGAGGAAGAAGAAGTAGTTGTAATATTTTTGTATGGAACATGTAGTATAATTGTTTAGTTGATGCTAGTTTAGAAAGATGGTAGACAAGTTTTTGAACAATATTATTGTGTTTTAATTGTAGCAGACTTGCATTACAATTATAGTAGCCTTTGTATTTTTTTTCTTATCCAGTATAGTAGTTCAAATGGAAACATTCTGTTGGTTTTATATTCACTTGTTGAATGTTTACAGTACTTGATCTTCATTATTTTAGCATATAAATCCTTTCCAACTGAATTTTTATATAGTTATTCTGTCAACGCATAAATATGTAGTTATTTTATTGTTTCTATGTAGATAAAGTGTAAAAATCAGCAACTAAACATTTTGTTGCTTTTACATTCAATTTGTTGAATGTAAACAATACCTGATCTACATTATTTTTAGCATATAACTTCTTTCTAGCTGAATTAAAATCTAGTTATTATGTCAGCTCCAGCTATTGTAGTTTTTTTTGTAGTTGAATTTGTAGATAATTTGTAAAAAATATTTAACAATATGTTTTGTTGCTTTTATATTCATTTGTAATGTAAACAGTACTTGATCTACAATATTTTAGTATATAAATCCTTTCCTACTGATTTATAATGTAGTTATTCTATCAATTCCAGTTAATGTAATTTTTTTGTAGTTGTATTGTAGATAAATTGCAAAAAAACATTAACAACTATGTAAAGGATGCTAGAGATAGTAAAAAAGTGGTAGATTATATATATAGAAACCATTCATAAACAAATCACTCTATGAAAGTATTATCTCAATACAGAAAAATCCTAACTAACTACATTATGATCTTAAAAAAACCTCAACAATTACACATCAAATTCTGTTATCCTGAACTCACCAACAATTTTTATGAAATATTCTGTTAACTACATAAAATTTTATTTCTTATTGGGTGCATTCTTGCAAGATCTTTTGTTATGCCCTTCTCCTCCGCAGTTGCCACATAAAACCTTGTACTTCTTTGAATTTATTTCATCATATGTTTTGTATCTTTCTTTTTGAGGTCTTCCTGGCTGCCTTTTCCTTCATGTAGGTGGATTTACTACTTCTTCAGATATATGTTGTGGCACATTCCATTTGCTTTCATCAGGCAAGGGATTTACTGGTATTTCATAAGTACGCAATAGGTTCTTCCTTGTGTAATAAGGAGAATAATATTGTTAAAAAGACTCATCCCTGTGTCTTAAAGCAGCCAAAGCATGTGGACAAGGAAGTTCATCAAGCTGGAATTGCCCACAACTACATCTCTTGTTTCAAGACAAACAATATAGCGCCTAACACCATCTAGTACTGTATGGATGTAGTCTGTTGAAGCCCTCACCTACAATTACATTACAAACAAAAAAACAATTCATATACGGTTAAATACAAAATATCTACAAATTATCTACATTGTCCTGTATAAATTAATTTGGCGCAATAAATGATAAGATCTTACTCTAAGCTTGTGCGACAATGTTCTGTTGTCATCCAACTCTTTGTTGAATTTAAACCCAAGGTATGTGAATGTACCCTTTGCTTTCAATAACTTTTCCTTCGTCCAACGTTCAAGAAGAGTCCTCATATACTCTAATAGTTCTACTATCGGCAACTCTCTTGCATATTTTGTTAAAGCATTCAACGACTCTGCAATGTTTGATGTCATAGTCCAAGTTCTGTTCACCGTAGCATGTACTCGAGACCATCTATGGTAGCCAATATCGTATAAGTATGCTTTAACATGCGGGTCAATATCTTCAATCTTTGATATCCTTTCAATAAATTCATCAAGCGTGTATGATCGTGCCGTGGCAAAGTACAATTCGCTTAACTTTATATGACCCTTCTTGAACTTTGCCCTTATATTTGTCCAAATATGCCACATGCAAGAATAATGTGTCATGCCAGGATAAACAATAGATGTTGCCTTCAAGATACTCTCATTCCGATCCGAAACAACACACATATTTGGTCTTTCACCATATGCATGTTTGAATTGCACAAAAAACCACTTCCATGATGCGTCATTTTCTGAATCAACAGCAGCATATGCCAATGATAATATGGTACCTACATTATGTGGCAAATAGCAATTAATTGGCTGCAGGAAAAATGCAAAGGAAGACATATACATACAAACTACAACTTTTCAACAATATATCTACAATAAATCTACAAGTACTACAAAAAACAGACAAGCTACAATATTTCTACAAGATTTCTACAATAAAACTACAATACCTGCTGCATCCATTGTACTAGTTGTTAGCATTATTCCCCTGTATGGTGACTTTAAGAAGGTCCCATCAACTACTACAACTGGCCTACAATATTTCCAACCACTGATTGACGTACAAATCGCAACAAATACATACAAGAAGCAGTCATCGTCCGTCTTCTTTAATTTAACTACAGACCCCGGATAAGTCTTCTCCAGAATATACAAATAACTAGGCAATTTGCTGTGGGAGTTAGTAGGATGACCTCTCAAAAACTCCAAAGCCTTTTCCTTTGCTCTCCAAGCTTGCATGTATGTTATGTTCACGCCGTGTTCAGACAACATATCAGTTTGTATGTCTTTTGGTGTGTAAATTGTCTTAGGATCAGCATATTTTGGAATAACCATGCTACCAACTACCATGGCAGTAGGTTTGCGTTGTATGAATGTACTGTCCATCAAAGTGCATATGTGCAAGCTGTTGAATGTTCTAACCTTGAACATTGTAGAATCATTTATGCTAGTTGCCTTGAAGTGCCATGTACAATTTTCACCAACACATACCAACCAGTAGCTACAAAATAAAAACAATTTAAACACTGGTATAAAAAATGTAGATCACAAAAAAAATAAATAGTTTTAGCATAAAAGATCATATACAACAGTTTATATACAAAACAACAACAAACTATCTACAATGTTGTTAAACAATATCACCAAAAAAACTGAAGAAGTAAAAATTTAAAAATAAACTACAAAATAAAAAAGAATAGCAAGTGCAATGTTCATACCTTCTAGCACTAGATCTTTTAACCCAGAATTGGAACTTGTGCATGACAGAATAGTACTTCATTGCAGTTGCAATTGTTTGCTTGTCTTGGTATACTTGTCCTATTTCAATAAAACTTGGTGTACTATCTGTTATTATTATACTTTCATAGTCCTCTACAATGGGAGATGTTGGCATAACAAGTAACTTTAGTGTTCCAGACGAACCTGCATGAAATAAGTTCTGTTATGAACAGTTTGTAGAAATTTTGTAGATAATTTGTAGAAACATTGAAATTCTGTATTTCTGTCACGCCCCAAACCGAGGGACATGACCGTGTCACGACCCAACCCCCGGTCGTGATGGCGCCCAACACATTGCTAGGCAAGCCCGACCTTTCAACATTAATCTCAACATTTAATGATTCATAAATTCGAAACATAGATATTAATTGCTAAACCATTTTATCAAAAGTCTAGAAATACTGAATAATATACGGACGTCTAACAAAGTTCTAAAACAAAAACCCCAAACAGGATCCGGTGTCACGAACATGAGCCTCTAAAACAGAGTGTCATCCTACAACAAGTCTGTCTAAGAAAAACAGAACAAGGGAAAGATAGGGATAGGAAGGAAGGATCAAGGCTGCGAACGCCATGCAGCTACCTTGATGCTCCCGAATAATGCTGCTCAGCTAAACAGGTCCTCCCTCAGCCTGTGATGTACCTAGATCTGCACACAAGGTGCAGGGAGTAAAGTGAGTACTCCAACTCAGTGAGTAATAAACACAAATAATGGCTGAAGATAAGAAATCACTGAAAAACACAAGGTAAACTATAACTAGCAGTACCAAACCTTTATCAGTAAAACCAACATATCAATGAAATAATAGTACAGAAAGAACCATGACCGGTAAAACAGATGAGTAATAATGCATGAATGCAATGCAATGCATATACCGGTACACTCAGGTACCCAGTGCAGCGTGCAGCCCGATCCACCATATATTTATCGTCGACGGCGCTCATTGGGGGTGTGTACAGACTCCGGAGGGGTTCCTACAGCCCAAGCGCAAATAATCAAGCCATCTCGTGGCACCAACCAGGCCCTCGGCCTCAATGTCAATATAATACTGCTGCGGCGTGCAGCCCGAGCCATCCATATATTTCCAGAAATCACTATAAGCCCCTCGGGCATTTTTAAATCATTAATTCACAGCCCAAAATATCACTTAAAATATCAAATCTGGAAAAGGGGCTGAATTTGCAAAATAGTACTTAAAACCCTGGAATGAGGTCAAACAATATGCAAAGTATGCAGAATCAGTGATATCAATCCCTGAAGGATTCACATAGTCGGCACAAAGCCCAAATACAACAGTCAAATCCAAGTAACGATGATTTCCAATAAATTCCAGTAGAAAAACACAGTAAAAACATCACCGGGACGGACCAAGTCACAATCCCTAATAACAAACGAACCCGCACTCGTCATAGAGCGCGTGCCTCGCCTCAATATAGCGTTACGATGTGAAATCCGGGGTTTCAAACCCTCAGTTCATCATTTACACCTAATACTCACCTCAAGTCGGCCCAAAGTTTGGCTCGCTATCCCTTTTCCTCTCGAATAGACCTCCTCGCGCGTCGAATCTGATCAAAACCACAACGAATACGTCACAATATGCTAAGGGAATATAACCCAATCGAAAAGACTCGAAAAACATCGAAAATCACGAAGTTGGCAAAACCCGATCCCCGGTCCCACTTCTCGAAAAAATATAAAATTCACATCACCGGATTCCTTATCTCGCCACGAGTCTATACATATCAAATTTACCAAAATCCGAGCTCAAATGCTCCCTCAAACCTCAAATTTTCATTCTCTTAAGTTCAAGCCCTAAACCACCATTTTTTGACCTTAATTCATTGAGTTTTCAGTCAAATTTCATGTATTTGCATGATAAAATCGTGTTCTAAGTTCAATGATGCTTACCTGATCGAAGTCCTTGAATTCCCTCTTCAAAATCGCTCAAGAACACCCCAAGTCCGAAGTTAAAAATGTGTTCTGTAAAAATTTCACGAAGGAATTAAAACCACCTTCTGAGCAGTTATTTTCGCTTCTGCGATACCTGTGTCGCTTCTGCGACACCACTTTTGCAGTTCTCGTTCCGCTTTTGCGGTTCCTTCAAATTTGCCCAGGACCGCTTCTGCGATCCACCACTCGCACAAGCGAGACCGCTTCTGCGGTCTGTACCTCCGCTTCTGCGGAACTCCCCAGACTCCCAATGCTTCGCTTCTGCGGAACCGCTTCTGCGGTCCATTTTTGCAGAAGCGAAAACACCAGATACCAGCTGAACCAGAACTTTCAAAACTCCAAAAATTCATCCCGATGGCCATCCGAAATCACCCCGAGGCCCCCGGGACCTCAACTAAAAACACCAACACATCCTAAAACATCATTCAAACTTGTTCCAATCATCAAAACACATCAAACAACACTAAAACCATCATTTCTCATCGAATTCAAGCCTAAGTTCTTCCAAAACTTCTGAAACACGCTTTCGATCAAAAACCCAACCAAACCACCTCCTAATGACCTAAAATTTTGCACACACATCCCAAATCACCTAACGAAGCTACTGCAACTCTCGAAATTCCATTCCGACCCTCGGATCAAAATCTCACCTATTGACCGGAATTCTCCATAATCCTAACTTTGCCCATTCAAGCCTAATTCTACTCCAGACCTCCAAAATTACTTTTGATCACACTCCTAAGTCACAAATCATCCCCCGAAGCTAACCAAATCATCGGAATTCAAATCCGAGCCCTCTAACACAAAAGTCAACATCCGGTTGACTTTTCCAAAACAAGCCTTCCTTAAAGAGACTAAATGTCTCATTTCCTTCCATAACCAATTCAAATCAACTCCAACACGTCTAATACTGATACTGAAACATCAGGAAATAGAAAATGGGGAAAACGGGGCAGTAATACATGAGACGACGGGTCGGGTCGTCACAGACCGGCGCCCGACCGGGTAGCCCCAGTCAAGCGGACCAGGGTGCCTTTCCTATCCCACGTGTTACCCCGTACTTTCATTGCTCATTTATCAAGGAATTAGCCATTTATAATTAAAACACCTTTTTACAAAACATACATAACATACATGGTTACTTAATGAGGTTTACAACTTACATCGCCCAACATACAAAATACATAATTACATAGGTTCGTAACCCACATTTACTGTCTATGGAGCCTCTAAGGATACAAAGGATAATACAATACTTGCCGATAACAAGGCTCCGGCTATACCTTACACAAATACCCAAAACATGACTCCGGAATAAAAGCGGCATGAACCAAGCAGGGCCCCGAGAGGAAGGGGCTTACCAATACAACTGACGGAAAGTGAAGGGAAGCTACGGTCGGTGGACTGGAGTACCTGCTATTGATCCACCTACAATCATAACACGAATGTAGCGCCCCTGGCAAAAGGGACGTCAGTACATTTGAATTGTACTGGTATGTATGAACAAACTTTGCCCTAAGCAAACTCAAACCATACACAAGTAACAAGTAGTAATGGAATCAAAAATCAAATACACATGAAAGGAAACAATCAAGACAAATAAGTTTACAATCTCTCCATTTCCCCTTCAACATTTTCACATCAATGATTTCACAACTTTCTCATATTTTCATTTCAATAGTTATTTCGATCACTTTCCACCCTTATTACCTCGGTCACCCTTATTACCTCGGCCACCCTTATCACCACAACCCACACCTTATTACGTGTTGCGGGGCGCAACCCGATCCCACCGAACAATCACAATTCACAAACAACACAACAACAACAATTCACAAAGAACAACAACAAAAATTCTCAAGAACTACAACAACAATTCTCAAGGAGTAACAACAACAATTCGCAAAGAATTTCCATAACCATCAATACCATTTCCATCATACTCAATAACTCATATGCATTTTATGTCACAACAATAATTGCCCACAACAAGCCATATATGTTATTACCACAGTTGTTCCAATTGCATCATTTACGATTTCCTTCCATCATTTGTTTCTCAGCTCTTACCACATAACACTTTCACAATCACACATTTGGTTTATTGCCAATTACTTACACCATTATATCGGGAGAATTAACCACGAACACTCAAATCATACCAATTACAAGAATTTCACACATAATCCACGTAGATATCACATACCAAATATTCGTACACCAAACAAGGTGATTTTACAAAGGTCAAAGTTAGCCATACATACCTGGAGCCGAATTCCCTTTTTAACTCCTATTTTCAATTCACCAAGTAGTCTAGCAACGTCAATCTAGTGCACAAGTTAACACATATGACTTAGAATTGAAGTTCACAATTGCTACTCAAACCTATTTAGGTAATCAACTCCTCTTGTACAATCCTTTACTCCTACCCAATTTCTCTTACTAGATTTTAGGTTTTAAAAGGCATGCATGTATGTTTTCAACCATTATTTTCAAGAATCAATGCATGAGACTCCCCCCTAGTTTAAACCTGAAAATCAATGAAAAAGGGTTAGGGATTTTACCTGCAAGAATGGGGATGAAGATAATCACTTTGAAATTCCCCGGCCCGGATAG